ACTCCACACAAGCTCTCACTTGTTTCGCAACAACAGCAAGAATAATTGGTAGGGTAGACTTGTTTCATCACAGACTTGTTTTATAGCTCATGGGGCATTCCACAAAACATCTGCTTTTCCGTGTAAAAAACAAAATGTCAGTCAAGTCTGAACATTCACATAAATAACACGTGTTAATAGATTACATATGTGTGCGTGTCTGTAAATAAATGAATATGGGTACATTTTGAAATGTAACTGATAGTAATTTTATTTAGACGTTTTCATTCTTGTGTTTAAACTATTATTTAAAATGCTTTCTACAAACTATCCAGTGTTTCAACGAATACTTTATTGTAAAATTCAGAGCAACAGGATTGACAAGATCGCCCTCTACTGACAACAAATGGCCAGTGATAAGCAATCTGGAAAACAAAGAAAAATACGATATTGCATACTATTAAATTGTGCTTATCATGACCATGTTTAGGCTATAGGTAGGCTGATATGGGTCAATGATGTATAGGTTTTTAACCATCACCAAAACAGTACACTTGTGAAACAGCTTTTTTATTAATTTTCCTTCAGCTTAATACCTTATATATCAGGGGTCCACACATTGGAATGAACCGCCAACTATTCCAGCATATGTTTTACACAGTGGATGTCCTTCCAGATGCAACCAATACTGGGAAATACCCATGCACACTATGGCCACTTTTGTTTACCCAATTCACCTATAGCGCATGTCTTTGGGATGTGAGGGAAACTGGAGCACCTGGAGAAAACCCACACAAACACTGGGAGAACATGCAAAATTAAAAAATGTTAAGTGGCACAACCACTGAGCCACCGTGCCACCCTTTTATTATAATGTGTGCATTTTTTCTGAGCAGATAAATGTCATTTTCACAGTGATTTACAAAAGACAATCTAAAAGAACATTGTATTCAGTGTATCACCCCCCCCCCCCCAAATGTTTATTATAAATAATTTGATGACATGAAAATTCTGACTTTGTGTATATTAATACCAGTTTGTAACAGTTTGTAACTATCAAAATTTCAAAAGAAATTAGAATTCATTTCAAATAAACCAATGGCATACAGATGTTACTGACAATAAAATAATGCAAATAGTTACGTGCACATCTTGTCCTTAGAATACTTTTGCATCCTAATTCAGTGGTAGGTACAATAGACAAAGTATCTTAAACTTTTAAAATACATTTAAAATCGTTTTTTTTTACAATACATGTATGAATATAAATAAACCCATAGTTCAAGAATTCAAGCATTATTGGTTTGTTCATTTTAGCATTCACATTTTGACACTTTCCATACAGTACACAAATAAACACAGAACATGCCTTATCAAGCTGGTAAGCTGTGATCAAAAATTAAATGATCACAGTAATGACTTCATGTAACTTAATGACTTAATGTACAGTAATGTTTGGCACTCTTGTTGTTAAATAAAACTGCATGCCTCTTGCGGAAGAACATTACTGTTTATAGATACAGTATGGTGAGTGTCACACAGACACTGAACTACACTGTAGAAGGGAACGACCATATAGTCCTAGTATACCAGTGACTATACAGGATTAGACAAAAACATAATTTGGAAGATTAAAGTGTACAGCTTTGAAACATCAAAACAGTATTTGAGATGTTGGGAATTTACTTGAGATTAATGTAGCTAAATTCAAAATACAGTTATTTTCTCACTTTTCCAAAGTCAAATTTAAGCACTTCTCAAATATTTTGCAGGTGCAAATCTTTTATCTTTTTCAGCACTATACAAGTGTGGAAAATTAAGATGTTATAGTATTTTATAGTATACTGTGTGTGTGTGTGTGTGTGTGTGAGTATATATGTATATATGTATATATATATATATATATATATATATATATATATATATATATATATATATATATATCAACTTTAGATTACTCTCATCTTAATTGTGTTGTCATCTTAAATGTTAATTATTTTAATTTCATGCATTGCTCACTCATTAAATGATCATGTCCATGCATTTTATTTTCATTTTATGCTAAAGCAAAGCGATTTATTTTTTTGAAATAGTTAATTATAATCACCTACTATTATAATGAAAGCAACACAATTAAATTTTAAAGCAGTTTCAAGCACCTTATCCAAAATCTAAGAACCTTTCAAACCTTGAAAACACTTTATTAAAATGCAAGAATTATCAAGGGTTTCCAGCACCCATACGAACTCTGTCATCTGTATTGCTTTTAATCTAGCACCAAGATGCAAATCCTAAAGTAGAAAGGATCCCATAATAAGTCCTAAACGTTTTTGCATTCATCAATTCAAGAGCACAATAAATCATTAAGTTTAAATTCAACAAATGCTATCCCCTCAATTTCACTTTTCTCTCCACACTCCATGAGGCAGCCGAATCGCTCCTCACACTGTGTCAAGTCTGAGTATCCACTGGGACCCTTATAAATGATCCACGGGCGGCTCCAACCAGAAGCATTCAAGGGTGACTTATTCAAGTAAACTCCAAGATCCTTCCTTTTCTTCTTATTAGTTGGATGAGAATAGAGTAACCAAGTTTTAGAGTCTGACTGTGTCAAGCAATCAGTTGCCTTCTTCTCCTCTTCATCCAATGGCTGAGGAACAGGAAAGCTCAACACGCTTCCCTGACAGCCATGCCGTGGCTCTACCAGTTTCCTTGCAACATGAGGATTGTCAAAAGCTGCTCCACTGGTTTCACTTAAAGCCTCTATTCTGTATCCACATGTACTACGAGCATTGCAGTACAGATGACTCTGATCAGCATGATCTATGATCTCAGCCATCTCACATTCACAGGATTTCATTTGGATTTTTCCTCCCATCTGCCAGGTGACGCCACAGTCATCACTGTAGAACGATAGGGCATGAGGCCTGACTATGAGAGGAAAATTAAAGGGAAAACACCTGCAATGCACGTAATAAACATACGCCGGAATGATTAGTCTTCCGCTTTTCATCTGAATCCCATGTCCTGGTCCAACTGCAAATGTAGCCCAGTTGTGAATCTCATCTCCAATAACACTGTTTGTTAAATCTGTTAACTCACTCCAGGTCTCGCCATAGTCTGCACTCGTGATGTAACACAGTCGGGCTCGGTTTCTACCCATGGCAATCTGGTGATACTCTGTGGTATTGCCCGATATGCAGATAAAGAAGAGATAGATGGTTTTGGATTTCCTCTCATAGACTGGACAAGGATTCATAGTGCGATGATCTGGCAAACAGGCGGAAGTGAGAGTCTGTGCAGAAGTCCACTGAAAATAATGACAATTAATTAATATGCTTAGAAATGTGAAAGTATAAAATTGTAAATGTTTGGGAAAAGTATGGCTATAAAATGTTTTTTTTTTCTAATAAATATCTGCCAATATGAGTTTAAATACAATTTTACCTGACATTTACAGCCATACTACTGAAAGCAATTTTTTATTTATTTTTAATTAAAGTGAGAATTAGGACTCAGTCGAACTGCTTGTAGCTGGAATCTTGTTGGGTAAAGTGTAGTAAGGGCACAGTGTTACTGTCAATTAGGGCTGCGTGATATTAGAAAAATCTGACATTGTGATATTTTGTTTTTCTGCGAAATACATTGGCTCTATGCACCAACACAATGTATTTGAAATGAAATGAACAAGATGTGCTTTAACTGCAGACTGTCAGCTTTAATTTGACAGTAACAGATTCCAAATGCAAATAGCACACTTGAAATAATTTTTGTACGCACAAACTCTAGTGTGACCGCAGCATAATTCCTACAGTGTTCACCTGGTTTGGATGTAAAAACCCTGACAGTCTGCAGTTAAAGCACATCTTGTTTGTTTTATTTCAAATTGATTGTGTTGGTGTATAGAGCCAAAATTGCACAGAAATTGTGTTGATGTCCAAATATTTATGGACCAAACTATATTACGATATGAATACAACTTCCCAAGATAACTTGAATATCTCTACTTAAATTTTTTTTAGAGTAATGAGGGTGATTTTTTAAGGCTGTGAATCATGTATAAAAATAAATAGAGCTATGAAAAAAGTTAAATAGCGCTTTATGGTTTTCCACAGAGTCGAACAGTATTACGGGTACAGAAATTGAATAATGAAATGTAAATTAACATTGTATAGTTTTCATGGTGTTAATAATTCAGTCAAATTATTCTTCATTAAAGTTAAAATGATTTACACTCTCTTGAAATGCCTTTAAAACACATGCAAACAATAAAGTTTCAGTCTGTTATTGGTATACTTTGCAATGACTCCACAAATCTCGTGTATTCTCAATATCTCACCATGGGACTCTTTTGAACACACACATTGCAATTTCAATGCTCAAATGTGTAGCCCTATTGTCAATAATGAAAAGAGTTTCTGAATAATGTAATATTTTATGTAAAAGTGTAAAATTTAAGATTATTTTTTTAAATACAAAGAACAAGAGAAGGCAAAATAGGCTAAATGATAGCCTTGAATTTGCTATTATAATTATGCTGAGCTGAGGGCAATAATTATGCATCCTTGCTGAATATATTAATATCTTTCTTTTATTTAAATTCTTATTGACCCCAAACTTACAAACACTGACAAATACTGATTTATAAGCCTTTTTTGTATAAATATGAAAAAATTATATTACTTGAAGTGATCCATTGTGCAGTGATCCCTTCCTCATGACCAACACTTTTGCATCACTGTCACGTGGAGTGCTGCGCTCTTCAGCAAAGGCAAGGAACGTCTGACCATCGCTGATGTAAATTAAAGCAGGAATTCTGTATGTTTTGCCATCCTTCTGCTGAAATAAAACTGTTCGTGCAGGTGGAGGGCGCTGGGCTTCAGGATAGCTTTTTGACGCCATATTGTCAATCATTCCTAGATAAACATAAACATAAGTAAACAACATGCAGGTAATATGACTATGAATGATCACGTGCGTGTTTATGCATAGATATCTTGCCACTTTATGGCTTTAAGTCGTCTTCAGAAAATACTACTGCTGCTAGGGGTATTAAATAGAAGATGTAACGTTACAATAATTAATTTTCCAAAATCAGCCCGGGCACCTACTACAAACCCTACACTTTAGTCAAATGATACGACGTTAATACTATCCTTACACTCCAACGAATGGATTCGCCGTCATTGCTTTTCTTTTAGGTGCATTATGAAAATTATTAAGGGAAAACTGACAACACATACAATCTATTTACCTTGTATATTCTCCTGTTTCCTACACTGCAGTGCAGGCAGTTGGTTCGGAAGACGAAATCGGAAACTCTTTCCACGGGGCGCAGTGCATTGCGGGACGTGTAGTTCCAACCTAAAAAGAGGCTATCAACATCTCTCTTTCACTCACAGTTATTTAATTCGGTTTTAAATAACACTTTTTATTATTTATTTCCAACACCCAACACACTTGTTAATAAAGATACGATTAAAACTGTGACAGCAAACGTGTAAGAGTACTACATTGCCCATATTGCTTAACCATGGTTGCTAGGACACCATGCAAGACACACTTCAGGGTCTTGTTTGTAAATATTCGAGACAGAGTGCACTGGAGAGGGATTTCAGTCGTTCAAACTTTGAGCAATTTTCTCATTTAATAGAGCTATTAAATCTTACTGTTTGTACTGTTACGGTTTGTCGTCTTGGAATTAATTGCTCGCTGGAAGAAATGGCAGAACTGGGGATTTACAAATTGGACAATGGACGAAGTTACCCATCAAACTGTTTCCCAATAAGATCCTTTTTTCTTCCAAGAAATGAAGGTGATTATTCAACTGAAGGCAAAATTGACTATTTTTATTTATTTATCACATGATCCTACAATATTCATTCTAATATAACGTTTATTACCCATTTGGAACCCAAACTCATATTAATAACAATGTGTTTCTAGCGTCTGTTGAATAATTAAAAGTTAAAAAGAGCAGCATTCATTTGAATCAGAAATTATTTTAATAGTTTTGTTATGTTATTAATTTTATTTTCTGTTTTTATTGCAATTTAATGCATCTTTGCTAAATAAAAGTAATAATAATAATAATAAAACATCTTACTTTTCTGGCATACCTGAATCTGAAATCTTAGAATTAACTATATGAAGTTATATTTAATATGTGGTTTTATTTTAAGGGGCAGGACACTGGCTTGTAGCACACAGAAATGCACTGGAGGAGGAAATATCAAAAAGGAAGAACATTTCAGATTTGGAAGTGCACTTTGGGAAAGAAGGAAAGGGAGTGCAAGCAAGCAACACTTTAGAAGCTCAACTTTTAGTAAGAATGCTTTCATGATCATTTTAACAGTGATTGCAGTTCATTCATATATTGATTTAAAACGTGACATTGTTAAGATATCTTACTAAACAAACACTTTCATTCTACTTCAGATTACACTGCATTGTGTGGATAAACCCTCTGACCTGTGTTCTGTTAACATCAGTGGCCAGCGTTTGGAAACAGTAAGGCCAGTCTCACGCTTTTTTAATGCCAGTGGTTGTAAACCTGAGGGCATCAGCAGATTTTAGGAAAATTATTAAAATGGTTTTCCATAAGTATAAATTAAGTTTAAAATAATATGAAACCACAAAAAAAAAAAAAAAAAAAAAAAAAATCAAGATATCTCTTAAGTAAGCTACACCCCCAGACCTCTTGGATTACATTATAGAATTTAATACATTTTGTTATAATTATTTATTTGCTTTTTTAATATAAAGTTATTTATTTGGAAATCAGAAGCCTTTAGCTGGAAAGTGTGAAAATCAAAGATATCTGTCATTACTTCACAGAAGCATGTTTTTTCTTTCTTTTTTAAACAGGTAAAACTTGAAGGTTTGGAACAATTTGATAACATTGCTTACATAAATGCCTCTGATAACCATTTAACCTTAGGTAAAAAAAAAAAATTGCACATTTATATCTTTCTGACACTTGTAATGGGATAAAAATGGTTGTAAATGAATATTAATCGTTATATTTTTAGAGCCTTTTGGCAGGTTTCCTGCACTAAGGGAATTGGAACTGTCGCTGAACAGTCTCCATAAATTAGAGATTCATGCTGATGACTTCAAGAAATTGGAAGTGAGTTTGCTTGAATATTGGGATATGATTATATAGTTGAGTGCAGATGTCCCTAATTATATTGTGACGATCAAAGAGACCTGACTTATTTTTTTTGTTTCAGGTGCTGGACTTATCCTTTAATAATGTCACAGGAGAAAGTATATTAAATCTAGGCCTGTTACCATGTTTGAAGGTTCTCCATCTAACTGGAAACCAACTGCAGATGCTTCCTCTCAGCATGGCTGGATCTTGTAACCAACTTGAGGAAAAGTACATGTTTGCTACTTTACAGACTTTATCTAAATAGTCTATTTTTATAGAAATGTTATGGTTTGTCTTTATTTTAAAACCATTGACTTTAAAGTGACAAGTATTTTTTAGCCTGCATTTATGAAATTTAGAGTCTACAACAAAATAAAAGTAAAAACACACATTATAAATTAAATGTGTCTGTTTTCAGTTTTATTCACTTATTTTGTATGATACTACAAACTGGTACACAGCCGTATATCAAATAATTTATATAGAGTATATGGATTTTCTTATGACCACACTGGTTTGTAACCTAGGCAGTATACCTTTCAAGTCCTTTTTGATATTTCACTTTAGCTGCTACTGAATTGAATGTTTTGAACATACTCAGAAATAATGACATAATATATCCTTGTTTTCAATAGCACAGATCAAGGTGTCTCTCTATTTGAAAGTCTGGAGGTTTTGATGCTTGATGACAACAAATTAACTTCTCCAGGAGTGTTTATGAGCCTTGCTAACATGAAGAGGTTGGTTAGTCTGCTTTTTATTGAGCAATGGATGTAAATGTTGTTTTTGGAATCTAATTTTGGTAATATGAAATCACTTTTCTTATATTGTATTTTTTAACTATTATAAATTAATATTAATTTATTAAATCACAAAATAGATCAGTAGCAGTTGTGCATTACACTTGATTGACTTTATCTTAGACTTATCCAGGTGTGCTTGTAAGTACAGTAAATTTGTATTGACCTATACTGTACATTATTGTAGATACTGATCATTTGCCAGCAAATCAGTATTAGTTAAATTAACTTTTTAGGTTGAAATGAGGTGTTTTAGAATACAAGTCATATGATGCAGTTTTCATATGTGATATCATAGTTATCTTTTCGAAACTTTAGCTCATTAATAACATATGGCAGACTTTGGAAACAGTTCATTATCTTTCATTATCCATTGCTCTTAGTGAACACTGCCCTCTTGAGGGACAGTCACAGCATGTTCTTTCAGAATTTTAAATAAAACTGCTGTCTAGCCAAAGAAATTAACTATGATATAAACATAGATTTTTATTGATTAGAAGGTACTGTTTAATTTGTAAACATTTAATCGTTGCTGTAAATTATAATAACTAATAAATTAGAAAAATGAAAAAAAAAGGGAATGAGGGCTTACAATTTTACAATTTATTATTTAGGAACAGTGCAATACTTTCTTAATTTAGTATACGTTTAATTGTTTAATTCCCACTTTATATTAAGTGGCCTTACCTAATATGTACTTAAACTAGTAATAAGTAATAATGAATTACAATTTACTTATTGTGTAAATACTGTACATGTTTTTACATTGCACTTATGGTTGATTAATTGCCTGCATGTAAATACATTTGTAATTTAATATAGCATATTATTGCATTTATAATTAAACTGTTAACCATTCCTTACACCTTAACCCACCCTTAAACCTACGCTACGTTAGTGCGTCCACACATGCACTCCAGTGTTCGCGGCGACCCAAGTTTGATTCTGGTCCTTGCAGTCCTGTGCCAATCCTTCCCCTCTCTCTGCTGCCCATGCTTTCCTGTCAATACTCTATACTGTCCTGTCTACTAAAGGTGAAAACCCAGAAAAAAAATACCTACCCATACCACCAAACTCTACCCATATCCTACCTCGATAGTACCAGAAGTGTTCTGTAATATATTATGAACACATTGGGTCCATTGTATTTAAATTTGATGCATGTACAGAGTAGTTGGCCATTTAATATAAAGTGGGACCAATTTTTTTTTTAATTTAATTAAATTTTTTACTGTTTGTGCTTTTAGGCTTCGTCATTTAAACTTACAAGGGAATTTGATCTCAGGAGTTCCATTCTTAGAACAAATGGCAACATTGGAAGATGCCCAAGCAGGCAACATACCACAAAGCATTTTGCAAAATCCAAGCCTGATAAATGACAAGAGGAGAACATGTTTGTATATTCACTGTGATATAAAAAAGAAAAAATATTTTAGATTGTAAAACAAATTATAATTTATCTCATATTTTCTTCCCTTTTTCAAACAGACTCAGAAATCAAAATGATCCACAAAACAATAGAAAAAACATTAGAAGTAGGATATTTTTTTTCTTAAATAATTTATCTTATTTTATGTGGAAACTTCATCAACATTTTAAAATCTAACCTATGTCTTAAACAGGAGGACAAAGCATGTCTCCAAATGCATTTGGATCACTTAAAATATCTTGTTCAGAGAAAGAAGGATGGTAGCTCCCTCGATCAATGCCTTCCATTTCCAGAACTTCATCATCTGAATTTAGCCAACAATGAGGTCTGTGTTCCTTGTTCACAGTTAAAAAGCATTTAATTTACTACAAACACTGACAGCTGAATAAAGTCATTGACAACTAAGCTATTTTCCACTTCTCTCCTCTAGATAGCTGAGGAAGAGGCATTGTTGCCTGTGGCACTGTTTCCAAAGCTCAGTGAGCTTGTTATTCACTCAAACCCCTTAACAACTCAGAAAAGTGGTAAACTCATACACCCTTAAACAGGATCATTGTTTGGACAAGCAAAACTTAGCAAAACTTAATCTTTGTGTGTTTGTGTTTTAATGCAGGCGACCCACCAATGCTGACCAGTTTT